GGGCCTTATAAGGTGTGGCAGGAAAGGAAACTGCCTGGATGTTGGAAGCAGGCGGTAATGGTGCCGATACGGAAACCAGGGAAAGACCATAATAGTCCTTCAAGCTATAGGCCGATAGCGTTGACATCTCACGTATGTAAACTTATGGAAAGGATGATAACGGAAAGGCTGACGTACTTTCTGGAGAGTAGAGGACTAATGTCACCAGATCAAAGTGGGTTCAGGAAAGGCAGGGGAACAATGGATCCTGTACTGTGCCTTGAGTCAGTCATACGGAAGGCACAGGCAAATAAGGAGGTGGTGGTAGCCGTTTTCTTCGATGTAGAGAAGGCCTATGATGTGGAAGGAAGGCCTACTTAATAAGCTGGATATCATTGGGGTTGGAGGAAGGGTTTTTAACTTGTATTGATCTTTTGGGAGAAGTGTCATTGGTTCTCCCAGGTGAGACCTGATATTGGTAGGTCATTGTTTGCAGATGACGGGGCACTGTGGAAGAGAGGGAGAAATATTACCCATACAGCCAGGAGAGTTCAAGAAGCAATCAGTGAAGTTGAGCAGTGGTCCCTCAGGTGGGGCTTCAAGTTTTCAGTTGAGAAAACACACTTTTCTTTCTAGAAGGAAGGTTGGGGAGGAAATATACTTTAAGTTGTATGGAAGGAATCTGGAGAGGGTGGGAGTGTTTCGGTGCCTGGGGGTCTGGTTTGACACTCGAATGACATGGGCAGAGCATATTAATAGAGTAGTTGTCAAAGGAAAGAAAATATTGAATGTGATGCGTTGCCTGTCAGGAATGGAGTGGGGTGGCAGATAAATGCTATATATAGCGCTATTAAGGTAATCACTGGATTATGGAAGTGTAGCATATGGATCAGCAGCTCAGACATCTTTAAAAAAATATGTAATCCAGGCCAAAGCCCTAAGAATATGTTGTGGAGCACTCGGGACCTTCCCGGTGGCAGCAATGTAGGTAGAGTTGGGAGAGATGCCGTTAAAGTTAAGACAACAGCTAGCCATGACATATTGGGTCAACCTACAAGGACATAAGGTTACACATCCTACATAAAAGGTGCTCCTAGAGTGCTGGGAACATGAACGAAATCGGTATACAAATTTCGGGTGGATAGGCAATGGCATGGCGAGTGAGATGGGGTTGTTTGGGAAGGAGTTTAGCCCCTCTGTGGTTCTTCCTGCTATCCCACCTTGGTTTCTCCCTCAGCCAGTGATAGATCTAGGGTTGCTGGAGAGGGTAAGAACTGTTGAGGAAGGAGTAGATTCAGTTGTAAGTGAACATTTAAGAACACAATACTATGCTTTCTTGACTATATTCACAGATGGGTCTAAGGACTCTAAAACAGGGCAGACAGGTGCAGCTTTTAGTGTTCCTGAGTTTAGTGTTCCTGAGTGGCGCAGTGGTCTAAGGCACTGCATCGCAGTGCTAGCTGTGCCACTAGAGATCCTGGTTCGAATCCAGGCTCTGTTGTAGCCGGCCGCGACCGGGAGACCCATGGGGCGGCGCACAATTGGCCCAGCATCGTCCAGGGTAGGGGAGGGAATGGCCGGCAGGGATGTAGCTCAGTTGGTAGAGCATGGCGTTTGCAACGCCAGGGTTGTGGGTTCGATTCCCACGGGGGGCCGGTATAAAAAATAATGTATGCACTAACTGTAAGTCACTCTGGATAAGAGTGTCTGCTAAATGACTAAAATGTCAAATGTAAGGTGGCAGTGACAAAAAGAGCAATATATAATTTATCTGTTTACACAATGGAGTTGATGGCCATACTCTTGGGTGGAGGTAGTGAGGCTAGACAGGGTAGTCATCTGCTGACTCCTGTGCAGCACTGATGAGCTGAAATTCATTTGTGTCTCGGAGCAGATAGGATGTATTGTATGAGGTTTTGCAGTGATTGCATAGGGTGAGACAGATGCGGGTATTTGTGATGTTCTTCTGGGTACCAGCTCATGTGGGAGTAGAGGGGAATGAGGAGGTGGATGTTATCGCCAAGCAGGCTCTTAAACATCCTAATGTTGAGATGGAATTGTCAATTAGTAAAGCAGAAGCCAAGGAGTTGATTAAAAAGTGGTTAAAAACAAATGGCAAGAGTTGTGGAAAGGGAAGACATGTATACTGTAAGATTCAGGAAAAGGTGGGGGCAGGGAGGTCATCAGGACGAGAAATTGGTGGGGAAACATCCAACAGGGAGGTGTAATCATTGTCAGGAGGAGATGGAGACAGTGGAACACCTATTTCAGTGCAAGAAATATGGGCGGGAACAGGAGTTTTTGTTATTAGATTTGAGCAGGGGCGGCCTGTTCAATAGGGCGATATGGGCGACGCACTGCCAAACGGGAAAAGGAAGGGATTTTTTTTCTAATCAATTATATCACGGCAACAGTAGTTATCAGTGTTGTAATCTATACGTCTGATCTGCCACAGTGCCACACTGCCACTAAATGTCGAATCAGGCTAAAGTCGTGCTTCAAATGGCTCCCCCCCCTTTTGGGGCGATTTCAGTCAGGTTGAAAATCGCCCAGAAGTCTGTAATAGACTCCCATGTAAAATCAATTTTTTTCAAATTTCAGAGCCTTCAATACAATCTCAATGGGTGTCTGTGGGCTTGCACTTACGCGCTTTCGTCATACGTTACGTAACCATGAACGTAACTGAGAAAAGAGTGGATTGTTTGAAAGAAGTTCCTTTTTGTCGGCGAACAAATGGAGATAAATTGGCAACGAAACAATTAGGACCTCCCAGACCAAATTTAATAATTCAACAGGTTTCTACTAAAGGCGGAAAGTCCTACACCCGAGGATTTTCCAAAAATTGGTACGAACGAAAAAAGACATTGCCACTCACTCAACTGGATGACGAGGGATACAGGCTAGCTGTCCGCCGCCACAACGATGAGGTTAGTGTTGATAATCACAAGTTTACTGGATGTGGATATGGTGTAATAAAGGCAGTTTATTCAGAGGTAAATATATCTGGAATCGCGTTCACGGACCCGTTCGTCAAACTCTTAGGGAGCTATAAATTAAGCCCCATTACTTACCATATCAGATAAGAGAAATTGCTGCAGCTACATATATTTTACATCCTGGCCCTACATAGTTCACTATTTGCATCACTTACCAAAATATTACATGTGGTCATATATGCTTGGAAAGTGGAGATGCCATAGAACGTCAAAAAAGTAAACATTGCTGGAGACACATTGCCGTTTTGGAGAAGACATCGCGTTTGCTAGCGAAGAGATTTGTTGTGGCAAATGAACTTGGGCTGGGAATTGCCAGGAACCTCACGATAAGATATATGCATCAGCATTGCGAGTCTCATGATTCTATACGTATTGCGATTCTATACTGTGATTTTATTGCGCACCATATGTCTGTTGCAGAGCGATCAGAAAGCCATGAGAACGAGTTTTGATCAGTCATGGAAATAAAAGTGCTGAAAACAAATTTGCTCCCAATGTGAAAAGATTGAGAACAAGCTATGAAGGAACAATAATGGTGTTTTGGTGCAGGTACAGCCAACTAGCGCTAAAATATTGCGATATTGTCAATACAGTATATCGTAAAGTATCACTATGTAACTCGATTTCTTTCACCCCAATCCCTCAAATTAACGGTAAATAACTGAATTGTTTGTCCCACATTTAGCTAAGATGATTAGCTAGCCAGCTAAAATGTTTTATTTAGTTAGCAGTCGCATCTACAATAGTTTACTGTCAATAACATGTCTCCAAAAATGACGTGGTGTCTCCAATTGTGTTGACATTTTACAATTGCAATGCGCATCCATGAGTATCCACTTTCTGTAGCTCAGCTGGTAGAGCATGGTGCTTGTAACGCCAAGGTAGTGGGTTCGATCCCCGGGACCACCCATACACAAAAATGTATGCACGCATGACTGTAAGTCGCTTTGGATAAAAGCGTCTGCTAAATGGCATATTATTATTATTATTATTATTATTATTATCTGAAGAGAGCCCCGAAACATTGTGTGCAGACATTTTATGCAATAAATGAAGTAGGTTCAATCTAGTAGTTCTGATCTTCTGATTGGTCCTGATGAGTTGGGCGAGGTCCCCTGCAGGCTACTGTCACTGTTGCATTGGCTCTGAGTCGGGTTCTCTGTCTTCAAATGTTCAGCCTAAGAGAGGGGATTTTTGTGTGTGTGTGTGTGTTTAACAGTGATGATGTGTGTGTGTGTGTGTGTGTGTTTAACAGTGATGATGTGTGTGTGTGTGTGTGTTTGTGTGTGTGTGTGTCCTCAGAGCAAGAACTCGTGAGTTGGAAGAACTGAGAGGCCTATGGCGTGGGTGTTGTCCTTGGCCACCTGCTGACAAGGCTGACAAGATAGGACCTTTTTGTCCATTGTTATTGGATAGGAACAGAACTTATAACCAGCTCCTGACCTAAATAGATCTTAGCACAACATTTTACTCAACATATCATATTCCATATTCACTATAACAAATATATTTACTACGACATTAGCAAGAACCGCCACATCCTCAGCCGGCTAATCCAGTGTGTGAAGTTTTGCGGAGTGTTTGAGTTAGCTTTGCGAGGCAAAGATGAAACTGAGGGCTCCACCAACCCTGGTAAGCCAACACTTTTGAGATCAGTCAATAAATGCTTCTGGTATTGACTTATATGCTGCCCCTGTCTTCATGTTGTTGCTGGACATATCTTTTTTTAAATGTGTGTAGGTCACCTAAATCATCAGAAAAATTGCCCCTCCTGAGAATTTTTTCAGGAGCCGCCACTGGATTTGAGGAGTAATGGGGTTGAAGAGCCAAGATTAAGTGAACTGCTGGGGAAATCTTCAGGGGATGTAGTATTTAATTATGTATTTCGTTTCCTTGGAGACGAGAATATTGGGAAGGATTTAGACCTTCCCTGTATCTGGTCCACACTCCAATCCAGTTGGTGGCGGTAATGCACCTTAGTTGGTTGCCAACCGCAATAAAACATCCAGCGATGAAGTTTTCGTACTGAACGCAGCCCTGGTCACGTGACCAGAATGCTCCCGAATAAAATAACAGTGAGTGCGAAGGAAAGATTGTAGTGAAGTCTCTCTCAGCAAGTTACCGTATTTTAATCACCCTCTCATATTCATCGAAGTTCACTAAGGTTTGTGGATGCATTAATAGGTCACAGGACGTCTTGGCAAAAAGGTAAAACTATATCAATAATTGTGTAGCAGCCTACTGAGCTTGTCAATAACTTCACCAACGCGATGCTAGGAAGTCACATCGTCTATATTTTATGAGTAGCCGTAGCAACACCTCGGATTGATGGACGCTGGAATATAACATAACATATAACTGAAATAAACATTATGATGACATGGCTAGCTAGTTGATATTCCACGCGCTGTTGATTCCACCCTATTCTAGCCAGAGAGCAAGGTTGAAGCTGGCTAGAAAGCAATAAAACAGTTGGCTAACGTGAACGCGATATAATAATTTGGTGGGTGTTTAACTAGCTATAGATATTTACCTTGCTCTCGAGAACCCAATCCATTCTGCCTTATCCCAAGGATTCTCAGCTATAAGCACCGCCTACCGGTGGGACCAAGTGAACTACAATCTCGACGCTCTGTTTTCACGTTTGAAACGTCATTCATCGCTTTTGATATCGTTTTCGAAACATAAGTTCCATATCTTTCATATCGGCGAGAAAGTATCTTTCAAATAAAAAAGATACACTTACTGTAGCAGATTTCCATACATCTGTGTGCCTCCAGCCAACGAACTACACTTCCTCCCTAGTTACGTTTACACACAGGTGTTCGAGCACGCTAGATAGCTAATTGGCACAGGTGGTCGCCTGTCTTCTGTCTGTCTTCGTGAACAAGCGTTGTAACATGGAAATATGGTTGTGTGGGAACAATACCCTTAATACAGGCAGCACAAAATAAATTGTTAAGCCATAAATAATTTGCCTACTAGACATTATGGTCGTGTCAGGTTGAACTTTCCTGACAAGGGTGTAGCTGTATCACTAAAAATTGAAGACGTTTTACAGTGAGTTAAAAAAATATATCTCTAGTATCTTGTATGTATGTATGTATGTATGTATGTATGTATGTATGTATGTATGTATGTATGTATGTCAAACACAAGTTAAATTCTTAGCCAACATTAACTAGGATGTAACCCTGGCACCTTTTTTTTGCTACAGCTGGCATTATGGCACAACCAATACTTTCAAGCACTCATTGCTCAAGATTTGGTGTAGCTGGCAATAGCCATGTTTTTTTGGCTCTTAACTGATGATAGGTGATGAAAGCCACTCATAAAACAAGGGAATCCCAGATAAGTGTGCAGTCTAGTTTTGGATATGGGTCTCAATAATTCAGCCAGTGTCTCAAATGTTGGACCACACTGTAAAATTGGCCCATCGACTATAAACATGAACTCTAAACAAATAAATATATTTGTTGTTAATGTTGTCATCCATCCTTGTCTGCTAGTTGCCATGAGCAGTGAGCTGAACGTGCCCATGGGCTCCCCGGCCCCGGGGGGCTCAGAACAGATGCCGGAGGGTGGAGGGATGGACTACAGGGACTGGGTGCGCCGCAGCTACCTGGAGCTGGTCACCTCCAACCACCACTCTGTGCAGGCCCTGTCATGGAGGAAGCTCTACCTGAGCCGGGCCAAGCTGAAAGCCTCCAGCCGCACCTCAGCCCTGCTCTCAGGCTTTGCTATGGTGAGTCACCCCACTGTTTTCCAGGGATAATAATCCCTTCAAAGTTGTTTTCAAGATCAATTTCCCTGGCAGCCTGTATGTTGTATCACTGGAAACAGACATTTTTCAGATAAACCTCTTGAGGAAAAAGCACACTCACTCCCAGGCTGCTATTAATAGCATGTGAACCAGTCTGAAAAGTAGGCCGTTTTTAAATGTATGCTAGTAGCTATCCCTTTCACTGTGCTGGTGGACTGTGATTGTGATAGTGATGTGCTTGTGTCGTGCTAGGTGGCCATGGTGGAGGTCCAGCTGGAGATGCAGTACAACTACCCGCGCATGCTCCTCATCGCCTTTAGCGTGTGCACCACGGTGCTGGTGGCTGTACACCTATTCGCGTTGCTCATCAGCACCTGCATCCTGCCGCACGTGGAGGCGGTCAGCAACATCCACAACCTCAACTCGGTCAGTGAGTCGCCTCACGAGCGCATGCACCACTACATTGAGTTGGCCTGGGGCTTCTCCACCGCCCTGGGCATCCTGCTCTTCCTGGCTGAGGTGGTGCTACTCTGCTGGATCAAGTTCCTGCCCGTGGACTCTGGTGTCCCCAACCAGGTGGCTGTGGCGGCCGCCGAACTGGCACTATCCAAGGTGAACTGTAGCGGCCCCGCCGTGCCGTCCACCACTCCGCCAGGGCACAGCGGCTGGCAGGCGGCCTTGGCCTCCACCATCATCATGGTGCCGGTGGGGGTGATCTTTGTGGTATTCACCATCCACTTCTACCGCTCGCTGGTGAGCCACAAGACAGAGCGCCACCATCAGGAGATTGAGGAACTGCACAAGATTAAGGTGCAGTTGGATGGGTGCGAGAGAGGCCTACAGGCAGTGTGAGCTCTTTAGCTCTTCTCTCTATGCTCTTCTGTCCACTCAATGCCTTCTCTCATTGGCATTGAGAAGCACCAAAATTCCACTGAATAAGTGGGAGGATTACGAATGTATCCACGCTAATTTGAAGTCAAAGATTAGAGTATGTTTGTTTTGGAAAATAGTATCTTGTCTCTGAGAGCAGTAGGATCTGTTGTATTGAGGTAAATTAAAAAGGGACTTCTACAGAATATCTTGAGGGCTATTTTGTTATTTGTTCATTTGTGCCATCTCTCCACATTTCATAAAGGAAGTGGTGAAAACCGAATAAGATGTTAAACTTCACCTCATGTGCTTGTTCTCACAAGGTGGTGTTATTGTGCTCATGCCAGGCTATGTTTAACACAGATCATAGCTGTAAGCAGATACAGAAGCGGGTGGAAACAACAGTCCATTTATTTTTGAAGTTGTTCATGCTGCACCAAACAGTGTAATGTTTCTCAGTAGGTGACAGCAACAGGAGCACACATACAAATGCTGTGTGTAGACATGCTTTGGGGAGTATGTTATTTGAATCTGCATTATAATCCATATTTTATATAGAAATCCCTCCCAGGCCTATAAACTGTCTGTTAGTTCTTTATGGTGTCAAAGATGGTGAATAGCTACGGTGCCTTGATGTTAAGACTTGTAATCTCCTCATATTAGTGAAGGACTGCTTGTAAATGTAAATACAGTCAACGGTGCCAGTTCTCTTGAATAAATATTATTTCTCTGCTTAAAGGAAGATTATTTTTTTAGAAATGAAGATAACATTCCAAACAGATTTTTCTGACCAAGAATCTCCTTTCTTTCAATGTGGTGGAAAAATACAAAAATGCAGTTGTAGTTTAGTTTGGAAGTTAGTGTTAATACTGGTATGTCAGGTGTCTGTGCAATTCTTCAACCTACGCATTGTTTTCTTCTTCAGGTCATACTTAATTGTTGTAAATGTCCCCTCTGAAAAAAGTTTATTTGACCAAACAAAAGGATTGTATGTTGATGGGAAAACAATGCTGTCAATTTGTTAAAACATTACTTATTTTGGATATTAACAACCCATGCTGTATTGTGGTACATTTACTGCTTTATGTGCACTGTAGTCTATTAAAGGTTCTGTGGAATAGCATGTCTTTTCATATCTTGTCAATGAATGTTCAATAAAGACTCATCTTATTTTGTTATTTCCATGCCCTACTCTGCATACTTGTCTATATTTTATGAGCTGACAATATCTTGTGAAGACCTAGGTCGTGTTTCCCTACTCAGACGTTGCATGCATCAACCAATGGTTCTGTGCCACGTCATCGACTGTGCCATTGGGCGCCAGATTGCTATAACATTTGGTTAGCTTATACGTAAAATACCTATCCAGGCGTTGTAAGAGCTGACATGCGTCAGCAACGTCTGAGCAGAGGAACACAACCATATAGTATACCAGAGTTATACAGATGATCCCATTCCCAGATCCTTCAAGTTAAGACAGGCTGTGCCCCCATCCAATTTGGCAATATTCCCTAACATAAGATAATGTTTCTGAATAGCTGCCAACAAAACATTACACCATGTTACTTTTAATGTTCCAGACAGCTTGGATATATTAATAAGAATCAGACTATTTTATTGTCTGGCTTCTCTCTGTAATATGCATAAACTGAAAAGCCTATCCTTCCATGTCTCAAGAGTGCCAGATGGTACACACCTGTGATATATAGAAACAGCCAAATTGCTCTTCTGATGATGGGCTACACTCGAGATGCTACCATAGTGATTGTGGTTGTCCAATCCTGGCCCTGGTTTGTTAAATTACACAACATTTACAGCTGTGTAATCATTACACTAATTTGACATGTAATTATTGTCCTAAGTAATAGCCAATATAACACCCCAAGTACACACTATCCAATCAAGTTAGTTTACTTAAAAGGATGGCTCACACGACTTGTGTTGATGTGTTCTCTTACTACAGGATGGACAAGGCTCCACACCACTATATAGTGTAGTGTATTACAAGGCCTCTGACTATGTTTTTGATGTAGCAAGGAGGATGAGACTAAATGGGTATGTGTTCTTTACTTTTGATCACGTAGTTCTTACTTCAACAATGACCAAATGGTTAGATGCTAATCTTGTAAAATGTGTCTAGACACTGGTTTGGTTTCTTTTGGAGTGACGTCTACAATAGTTCCTGCTTTTTAACCTAATGAGTATCAACAAAATGGCATATAACATGGTATTCTGACACTGCTGCAGCTATGATGATAAAATGAAGAATTTCCTGACTTGGTATTGACACTCAAGGGTGTTGCTGACCAAAGTGTGATAGATTTTAATCTTCTCTCTGAGCTGTTATATCTAAATGAGCTGTTTGACTTCCTGCAAATACCCAAATGTTTAATCTCATCCTGCTGAATTCTGATTTTTAGAACTGAGTAGTATTTTATAACATCACAGGGGGCTATTCGGGACATGGAACCAGTTCATAAATGTAACTTTGCAGCAAATGGCATGTAGCCCGCAAACTAAATCCTAAGGCTGTGTTTACACAAGTAGGCAATTCATTTTTTTTTTTGTTGTATTTGTCTTTTGACCAATCGGCTCTGAAAAAGATCTGTTATTGGTCAAAAGGCCAACTAGTGGAAAAAATATCAGAATTGGGCTGCCTGTGTAAATGCAGCCTTAATTTCCTGAAGTCACCCTGGCCATGTACACTCCATTTCAAATGGAAAATATTCCCATTAGGCTTTGGCAAACTATGATGAGGTGACTCATTTCCTGACTTGGGATTGTCACCCTGGTGTCACTGACTAAGGAGTGATTGGTTGTAATCTTCTCTCTAACCTATTCAATCTAAATGCCCTCTGACCGCATCCTCCACTAATGTGGGGTGAGCCTGGTGTGCATCTTAGAACTGTATTTCTACACAGCGACTTTGATGGGTTGAACCCAAACAATGCAAAGTACATTGACCTTTTGAAACAGTTTGTCCTCTGCAAGGGTTCCTTGGTTGACTCGTTATTTTTTTGCATCAGTGGCTCTTATTTGCATAGATATAAGCTTACAATTTCCTGCAAGTTAATTGGTTGGACATTTGAAATGAATGGCTGTCTAGCCTTTAACCGCTTTTATATGCTGTTTTCTGTTTCAGAAGTGGCTATTGTGGTTGAAGAGGCGCTTGATCTTCTGTCAAAGTGCATCACATTCTTCTCAAGGCTAGTGTCCTAAGGAAATGGCCTTTGACTCTACTCTAAACATAGTGGGCTGGACTCCAGGGAGATGAGTGAACCTTTTTTTTAGCTGATGTTGTCTTAATGAGGGGGCTGGATGGGAACTCTCCAGTCAGACCGCAATAGATCACGTTCACCTAAAGCTGCATGACGGTTTCTAAATGTAATCCATTGCAGAGATGTTAATGAAAAGTGCCCGTTTGTCCACCTAGATTAGCAAAGGAGTAAATATAGCTTCAGTGTATTTATATCTGATTTTAATATTTTATTCAACAACTGGTTCATGTCAACAGGACAAGCTTGCTGGGGTTAACTAACTGTCCCAGTCTATTGATAAAATGATTCAGCCTGGGCTATCAAGGGGATTGTTTATTCGTTTGATTCTAGCTAGATGTAGCTCTTTAGTTGTGTATAGCAGTATTGAATACCAACTATTAACGGCCTTGTTCTTTTGACAATCTTCAGATGTCTTTGCTGTTTACTGAAGGAATCCACTGGGACCTTGCAGGCTTGAAATAGCTTTTTGTTGGCCTTTTGGGGAAGATCATGTTAATAAAGTTTTGACGAAGGCCTTGAGGCAGATGCGTCAAGCATAATAAAGGGCAGTGAGCGTTTTTTTTTTTCTCATGTTCAATTGTTACCATGCACCTGCAACAAAGCTGGCTCAAATGTGAGAGTACCTTTTTGAATTTTGGGGATGGATCACAATCAACAACTTAAGGGAGTATATTGCATTAGAAGCCTAATTTGAAGAATACCCCTACTGTCATGTTGTAATAAATTGGACTTGTTCAAAACAGACACTACTGCAGTAAAGAGCAACTGCCCCTAAAATCCAACTAATCCTTTTCAAAAGGGCCTATGTGGCATCAAACATTTTATTCTAGTGTCAAAATTTACTACAAAGTGTATTTTTCTTGTCATCTAAAACTGAGTTTGGCACCTCCATGCGTCACAAGTAGTGAAGTTGGGTTTGGATTACAATGGTCAACAAATCATGCGGTTTTTGCTAAACTCAATGTGCAACTTGACCCACTTTGCTTCCCTTAGCTATGAGAAGCTAGCCGCAATAAGGATTAACAATGGTGGAAATACAGTTCGCCTTCAAGATAAGAGAACCTCATTGAATGTGCAAACGGAAACAAATAGTGGCATCATGCCATATTTGGACTAGATGCTAAACAAGTTTGACTACTATATAAATTCAAGACAATTTGACTAAGTAAAAATGTAATCTCACTGTGGATGTATTAGACTTCAGAATTGCATCAGGGGCATACTTTTCACTGTACAGCCTTACCAATGGATTGTGGATCAATGAAATGGAGTATCAGTCTACTCAGTGACACCCACAGAGCATAACTGTAGAATTTACACCAGTGTCGTACCTGCAAGTCAAGCTAGCTAAAAACTAGGCTAGATTGAAGATCCCATTGTAGCTAGTGACCTCAACCTAACAATTATAATAAACAAACATGATTACCATTACAAAATTAAACGAGGCAACAGTTCTATACTATAATTGGCTTAACAGCCAATGTGTATTTAACATTAAGTACTCAATTATAGAAATGGGTAATTTACAAGTTGCTAGCCATCACCAAAAACCATATTTTCATCTGTTTGGAAACTTCCTGTTCTTTGACAGACTCTGGCTGGACTGAAGACGACACAAAGTTTGAAAATTGACTGACCATGTCTTAAAGCAATGGACTGTCGTTTCTCTCTGTTTATTTGAGCTGTTCTTGCCATAATATGGACTTTGTCTTTTACCAAATAGGGCTATCGTCTGTATACCACCCCTACCTTGTCACAACAGAACTGATTGGCTCAAACGCATTAAGAAGGAAAGAAATTCCACAAATTAACAAGGCACGCCTGTTTATTTGAAATTCATTCCAGGTGACTACCTCATGAAGCTGGTTGAGAGAATGCCAAGAGTGCAAAGCTGTCATCAAGCCAAAGGGTGGCTATTTGAAGAATCTCAAAATATGTTTTGATTTAACACTATTGATTTGTTTAACACTTTTTTTGGTTACTACATGATTCCATATGTGTTATTTCATAGTTTTGATGTCTTCACTATTATTCTACAATGTAGAAAATAGTCAAAATAAAGGAAAACCCAGGAATGAGTAGGTGTGTCCAAACTTTTGACTGGTACTGTAGATTCAATGGTTGTAAAGATGGGGAGTGGTCTGTCCATAATAGATACTCTGCTTTTCTGACACCACACTCCAAAAAGCAAGTCCTGCAGGCTCTAGTTTTGGCTTATCTTGATTATTGTCAAGCGCTGCAAAGAAAGACCTAGTTAAGCTGCAGCTGGCCCAGAACAGAGTGGCACGTCTTGCTCTTCATTGTAATCAGAGGGCTACAGTGCATTCGGAAAGTATTCAGACCCCATGACATTTTCCAAATTTTATTATGTTATAGCCTTATTCTAAAATGGATAAAAATATATCCTCATCAATCTACACCCAATACCCCATAATGACAAAGCAAAAACTGGTTTTTAGACATTTTTGCAAATGTATAAAAAATTTAAAACATCACATTTACGTAAGTATTCTGACTCTTTACTCAGTACTTAGTTGAAGCACCTTTTGGCAGCGATTACAGCCTCGTGTCTACTTGTGTATGATGCTACAAGCTTGGCACACCAGTATTTGGGGAGTTTCCCATTCTTCTCTGCAGATCCTCTCAAGCTCTGTCAGGTTGGATGGGGAGCATCGCTGCACAGCTATTTTCAGGTCTCTCCAGAGATGTTCGATGGGGTTCAAGTCCAGGCTCTGGCTGGGCCACTCAAGGACATTCAGAGACTTGTCTGGAAGCCACTCCTGCATTGTCTTGGCTGTGTGCTTAGGGTCATTGTCCTGTTGGAAGGTGAACCTTCGCCCCAGTCTGAGGTCCTGAGTGCTCTGGAGCAGGTTTTCAACAAGGATCTCTCTGTACTTTGCTCCGTTCATC